ATTTCAAAATAACAAGCTTTTTAAAAGAATATGAATAAAGGAACTAAATAAACAGAAAAAATGAAGGGTCCGTGTGCTTGTTTTTAAGATATAAGCCATTAAAAATTTGGCGGGAAGTGATTCTCTCTAGATTTTTCATACACTAAACACTGGCACCTTTTTCTTTCAAAAGCTATGGAAAAATAACAAGGATTTTATAAGATTTTCAAATATGGCTTTTTAAACTATATGTAATAAAAATATGAAAAGAAAAGTAGGGGTTTGCGGGCAAAATTTTTTAATGGCACTGCATGGATAAAACCAGAGGATTCCGAATATCTGGTAAAAATGTAATTTCATCCGCAATAAATTTAATATGAAAATAATTTGCAAGTTATACACTATATCCACACTAGAGACCTAATAGAGTAGAAATACTAATTTTAATCAAACTTGGCATGAACTAAGATTAGGGAATTATAAGACAGTTTACCTAGTTTCATGGCAATAGCATATATACATTAAAGACTATAAGTTTGAACTTTGGGTGTTTAATTTTTTGCCGTTTAAAGTTTAACGTTTAACTATCAAGATTTGGGCCTACATAATTTAAATATTGCAAAAAATTGCTTTTTAAATGTCTTTATAACTATTTATATATAATTGTGTATGTCACATGTATGTACATGATGTATTTTAATGTAAAGCAGCTGAATACTCATTTGCTGTCTCAGATTTATTTCAATTCTTCAAAAGTCGAATTTATATGAGCCTATGCCTAAAATTAGAGATTTCAAAATTAATGGGGGGTGGGGGGGGGGGGGGGGGGGGGGGGGTGGGGGGAGGCGGCTAATATAAAAATTCTTCATGTATATGTAAAAAATTATTTGTATTTCAAAAGGAAAGAAAGTTACTTATCTGCTTATAGCATACCACATGAGTAGAACAAGGTCCCATTAGGCCATGGAAGACTGAATAACATTTAAGGTCAATATATAGGCAGTAACACATTTTTACATGTATATGAAAAGGCATACACATAAGCTAGAGGAAATAAAAAAGTGTTTCTTTTTGGTAATTTGTAGGCTAAGGTGACATCATACAAGAAGTATGATTGATTCTCAAACTAAAATAAAATAAATTCATCCCCCTACTTCATTGTACTTACTTTTTATGCATAAAAAATATAAATAAATAAATTTTGAAGTAATACATGGTCCACACTAGGAAATCTTTTTGTAAAAAATGAAAATCAATGGATGATAACTGTGTACTTGGACTAACAATTAAGATTTCACATGCTGAAATGTCTCGTCAGCCCAATCTCAATCAGTGAAATAAACTATTGTTTGTTTTTTTTTAAAAGTTATATGGAAGTAGTCCAAATAATTATGACGCATTGCAAGGCTTTTTTTTCTCTCTGACGCCGTAGGAAAGAGAAGTGAGTTGACATAACATGTATGTTATCATGCAAAATCAACAGTAATGAGTATACCTTTGATCAGGGGAATATAAGTAAGGGGGAGGGAAACCAATGATAATATGCTGGGAAGATCTTATTCGAACCTTTTTGAACTTTACCATCTCAAACGACTAAATATCGGAGACTATCGAAAAATAAATCGTATCTTGCCATTGGTTTAAAAATATTTACGTCAATATGACAATCATTTATAACATGAATATTGATATATTTGAACTCTATTATTCTAAATTAAAAGGTCAATACACCGTTTTGTTTACTTGCTTGCTAACGCGTATTAATCACAGCCATGCACATGTTTAAATTGGGATAAGATTATATATATATTATAATGTGGCAACATTTAAAAAAAAGAAGACCTTAAATTTATTTGTTTTCGTTGTGCACATATTTTTTGTAAATTATTAACGAATTGGTGACAAGTAATTTGCATTCGACCTGCAATGCTCCCTTACCGGGTCGTTGTATTCGAACTGTTCGTTGTTCATGCAGTTACTCTGAGTCAGTGATGATTATTTCATTTTTTTCGTCTTCAACCTTTTATAGACATTTGTTCTATTAATATATGGATGCATAATTTAGCTGCTTATAACAAAGCGGCTTGTTAATTAGTATGCATGGAAAACAGAATAATTGAATCCAGTTTCCTATATTTTTAAGACCACTGTATTTGTCAATGTGAAATCATATAATATGCATAAAAAAACATGGTGTGTCTTTTTCTTTTCTTTTCATCTTATCAATAAAACCAATAAAAGAGTTTATAGAAAAAAAAGATGTGGAATGATTGCCAATGAGACAACTCTATAAGAGACCAAATGAAACAGAAATTAACAACTATAGGTCACAGTACGGCCTTCAAAAATGAACAAAGCCTTATAAAAGGCCTGGAAATGACAAATGTAAAACAAATAAAACGAGAAAACAAACGGTCTAATTTGTATGTACAAAATAATGAACGAAAATCAAATATGTATAACACAGCAAATAACGACAACCACTGAATTACAGGCTCTGACTTGGGACAGGCACATATAGAATGTGGCGGGGTTAAACATGTTAGCAGGCGCCAACCCTCACCTATAACCTGTGCTATGGAGGAATAGTACACCATAAGAACAAACCATAACAATCAGTTGAAAAAGGCGTAACTCATCAGATGGATACAAATAGAAATACATCTATAACAAAAACAGACTCCTTGCATTTATTTAATAAACCAGCTATCTCCACCCTTTGACCACAACCTGTGATATATCCCAGGCGCGGATCCAGTCATTTTGAAAGTGGGTTTCATTGGGTTTAGTTTTTTTTTATTTGGGGAAATAGACAGTCTAATTGTTTGTATGTTTTCTTAGCGTGGATTTAAATTTTGAAATCTCATCAGGATAATGCATGTAAGGAGCACTATTAACACTTAAAACACCAAGTCTGAAACTCAAACACAGACTGTATGTACATAGTTTGTAAAACGGGATTCCCCACTATTTCCTGTCATTTCTTATTTACTTTTGTGTTCCAAGAACAGAATTCAAACCTTCAAAACAACCCGCTAACTACTTTTTCATGTAATATATGTTTCTACTGGGGCATAACATGTTGTGACCAAGTACACTACCCAGGTTGTAAAGCACATCTTTAATGCTAAACATGAGGTTCTCCGGGGTAATAAGCGATGTCTTCTCGGTCCACTCTGACATCCGCCCAGATACTCATGATAAAATTCCAATAGTAAGATACCAGGACGGGTTCATATAGAAACGTTTGAAAGCAGAGAAAACTGCGCACCTTATGTTCGGAATGACTTTAACAGATGACCATACAAATACTCAAAATCAAGGATAACAATAAGGCTGAAGTAATTTGGTTCAGTCACGGGTGTGTTAATAGTTAATCAACTATTCCCAGGTTCTATTATTTAATTAACTGTTGACACAGAGATATACGTCTCGTTGTAAACAATTAAAATGATAAAATGGAAAGGTTAAAATAATTGCAAATACTTTTACACATTTTAACTAAGAAAAAATATTCCAAGTCATTCAATGCCCATGACTAGAGGCGCAAGGCTAACTAATCTCCATGGAAATGAGATATGCTAAGGTGCGGATCCAGAATTTAAAAAAAAGAGGCCCGAGGGGGGTCGATCCAAGTCTATGCTGTACCATACATGAAACCCATACATAAGGGTGTGGGTCCCTTGACCCTCTAAATCCATCGCTGATGCTGAAAATGCCAATAGTCAATACAAGCGTGCATATCAATTAACTATCACTGATTTTATCACCAGATTCTCATAAGCATGACTTAGATGAAGGGGGCATATAATCTCACTGGGAATGATATGCTACTGCTTATACAACTGCATTACACATGTCATTGCCCTAGCTACAGTTTAATAGTGGTTCTGAACTTCACTTCAATTCAACTGAACCAATCTAACTTTAACATGTAAACTAGACAATAGTTTCAAGTTCAATGGACAATGACTGAGGGGAAATGGAAAATGACCTCTATGGGAGGAATCATGAATATGTTTGCCCTGAAATTAAATTAATCAGAAACTTCAATTTCTAAACTAAGCAAAATCCATGGATATGAGATTTGCTAATATATGCATGCTTATACAATAGCATGCAAAATATGATAGAGTTGAAATAAGGTTTTCTTAAGTAACCTAAACACAGACTTGTTCAAACAGCGACACCAAGCTATAAAGCGCACACACATGTCTCACCTTAATGAATTCTTAGAGGCAAAACAAAAACCATCAAGAATGTTCATAACAACCAGGTGTTTGTTGGCATGCACCTCTTTTTTAAACATTTCATGAAACCATATAATGAAAATCAGATTTATATTTTTATATTGTGTAACACATAAAGGATAATCACCCTGGAATGTAATTTAGAAAATACCGTAACAGTATGTTTTCACTGTATTACCTAACAAAAAGCCCAATATGGTTGCAAGAGCTAAACGGTATCAGATTGGTCTTAGCTTCATAGAGCCAGTAAACCAATACAATCAAACCTGTCAGATATCAGTGTTTGCGTTTGAAGTTCCCCATAAGTATTTTATTTTGGTTCCGATTGGAGACACACCATGGACTAATTGTCATCATAGGCGGTCAAACGTTCATATTTAGACCAAACGAGAACTTTTTCTTTTGTTCTTATTTCCAAAAGACTTCATAGACATATTGGAACAATATATATGTCTCTGAACACATGAACTGAAATGAAATCAAACCATGAAGGAATATTCTATAATACCTATTGTGAATATTGCTGTTATGTTTAGTTTCAGTGAGTTGTCTGGTTTAAGAGGAAGCCTTGATAGTTGGTTATCTTGTTGGAATTATTTTACACTTTGTAATCTTTGTGTCTTCCATAGATTGCTACACAAGGCCATACATAACAGTGACCTGTATTTTCTAGCATTTACTTTGGTCTCTACATGGTGGAAAGATGTCTCATTGGTGATCATACCACATCTACCAATTTTATATTGATAATCATACAGATCCAAGAAAATAGAAGCTACAAGTATCATTCTATTAAACATACAAAATTTCTGAGAAAGACAATTCTGTACTTTTGGATATATGGTATTAATTATAAACAATTTCAGTCAACTTGAACTTTCACATAGACAGTTAAGTTTTATGTGAGCCTGTCTGTTTTATTTAAATGGTTGACAATATATCATTTATCCATTTCATATCCTTGTGAAATTAAAATATTCTGAGCATACATATAACATGACATGGGAAGAAAGATAGTCAGACATACCAAATAGTTCTTATATTTGGGATATTACATGTGACTAATATATATGTTAATATTTTCATGATAGCAGGTCTAATAACCACTTGACTTGGTTAAAAGATTTCTTGGATTCTATGAAAAGGAATGCTTTCATTTTTGATATGCAGCTTGAAAATGTTGAGTTGATGTCTATTAGCAATTTTAAGATCTGCCATGTCTGCTGTGCAGCTACATCTTGTTTCCTGGTAATTTAGAATTAATTGCATGCAGCCACAAAGTCTAGACCTGGTATTGTTCTTTTTTTTCTATTTTTTGATGCTCTTGTTAAAACAGTTTTAAAATTTTCAACATCTTTTCTGGTAGCTCATTTTTACCTGAAAAAGAGAAGTCATATAATATAAATCAAGAATTAACAAAATTGGCATGTAATTACACATGTATATAAAGATCAGTGGCGGATCCAGAAATGTTCATAAGAGGGGGCCCACTCCAGTCATGTTTCAGTGATTCCCTATATAATCAACCAAATTTTTCCCACAAAAGGGGGGGGGGACGGCCCACTGCCACCCCCCTAAATCCACCTCTGAAAATAAAATTGTCTTATTGTTACTGCTGATTCATTTTAATATCAATTGTGTATACAACAGAGGAAACAGTTCAATAAAATTATATTTTCTAGAAGTATGTAAGATGAGTAATGTACTATTAACAAACAAGTCCATTTGCCTTGCTTATATACACAAATGACAAAAAAAGTTTTTTTAACTGAAATATAGAACTCTAATAAATGTTTGTACATTCACTGATAAGCTGATACGTCATTTCTAATAATTATTTCATATATGTACTTACACCTTAATATCAAAACAGTCTCTGTATGTACATGTATCTCTTTCTTTCCATTTCACATAACTCTACAATCAGAACAGCACCTGCAACAACCAAAATTTAAGGTTTATGAACCCTTCTGTAACCATGTGAATTACGAAATTTTCAAACTGCAATAGTATCAAAACAGCAAAAAGAGATGGGCCGTTTTGTACATATACCAAGGGGAAACTTCGTGCAAAGCATTATTATTTATTGTTTCACTGCATTTAATAGAAAAAGGGGATTTTGTGGCAAATAAACCAAGATTTTTGTAGAAAATCCACAGACTTTAAAAAAGAGATTTTTGTTATAAAATTTTAAACATAGATTACTCACTTGTTTTTCTATGATGTGCTAGCATTTATTGTTTACAAAAAGTCCTAAACAACCTTTAAATTCCAAAAAAAACTAGTGCTGAGTCACTAAAGTCGAGTGCACCCTAGAAGGTGTACTTGAATTGGTCCATATTTATATTTCTTCTAACCAATATTTTGATTTATAAACTTGTCCTAAGGAAATCATTGCTAGCACTGCATGCAATATTCCTCTATCTATCAAGCATAGAATGGTCAAGTATTAGATTACAAGGGAAAGGCTAGATTTTATTTAAAATTTACATGTTTAGCATTGAAACAACAAAAGGATACATAATTCTTAAAGAGCTCTAATTAAGAGCTTGTGTTCCTTCGGATACTAAAATTTTATATACAACCCGACTTTAAATAAAGATTACTTTACTATACTTTACTTTAAAGACTTTGAGACAAACTTGCCATATAATCAGAAATATTATTTCAAACAAAGCTGTCCAGTCTTTTGTTATTTTAAAATGGTCATCATCATGGATTAAAAAAATTCTGAGTAAATACTTAAAAGTTAATCACTTTAAATTTGGTTGCATTTATGAAAGGACCAAAACTGCTTACCATGTGCAAAGATTTTATATTGACCTGACAATTAAACAATGACTGAGAGTATACAACATGGTACATTTTTGTAAAAAAATATTCATCATCACTATATCAAGCAATGTAAATTATATAATAAAATCTAGGATGTTATTCACTTACATTCTGCCAACACTTAAAGTAGGAACTATTTCTATGTTTCGTCATGACTGTGAGGTAAACAATTTGTGAGGTGGTGTTTGATTAGCATATCAATAGAACAACAACAATGTCAACATGCAACTGCAAACTCGTTATTTTGTTGATTGATTTTATTTTTGTCATTCAATATCGAGTAGAAGAACTTTATACACCATTTGTAATAGATAATATGTCAAAAAATAGAATAGTTTATCTTTTTATGTCATTTTCTTGAAAAAAGTTGAAATCGCAAGTATCTTGCGATTTCGTTTCAATAATTTTCAATAGCACAACTTTTTGGTCGTCTGGTTACAATAGTTTTTACAGTGCGATTATTATTGTCATATAGATAGATCGGAAGATCATGTTATGAAATATTATGTGGCATACTTACGTGTCATTCTGATATATACGATCCGCTAAATCAACCTTTTTGTAAACACAAAACTCGGTCTTCCCCGCATAAACATGGCGGTTGCATTATAGTAAGGAGTTGTTTCCCCTTACTGCTTTGATTGTCACCGTCACTGCAAATGGATCATTATTACTAGGGGGAATGGAACCAATAAATTGATCGGATCCGATATGAAGTTCCCTGTAACGGAGAACCTCTAACTTTGAGGTAATATTATTAGTGTCGGTGGTCTCACAAATGAATCAGGGTGAATTGCAGGTACATTAATTAGCAGAGAATAGACAATTATCAACTTGTTATTCATTATCTCGCAGTTATTTACGGTTAATTAGCTGTATATATCCCAAAACAGGTGCTCGGAGCTAGTACTAGTCTATGACTTTTAAGTAACAATTATATTTATATTCACAATCAGTGGCGGATCGAAGGGTGATGGGATCCGGGGGATTGATTCCCCTTTTTGTGAACGATCATTGCATTTAATCAGAGACATATATGTCTCTGATTTAATGGAGACATATATTTCAGTGGCGGATCCAGAACTTTGTGTAAAGAGGTGGGGGGCTGACTGACCTTAGGGGGCCCTCTCCAGTCATGCTTCAGTGATTCACTATATAATCAACCAAATCCCCCCCCCCCTGGATCCGCCTATGTATTAAGACCCCTTTATCCTGGCTAGAATCGCCCCTGATATTACATGTAAATCAAGTCCCGGGTTAATTACTGTTAGCATAATAGCATAACGGTAGTCACAAAGAGTGTGGTAATTTTATAAAGGACGAGGATTAATAAATATACAATTCTTGAAGAGGGGGAAAGTGCACTTCACGATGATCGAAAAAAAAAGTGCCTTGCATGTTATTTTCATCATCTTGTCTGAAACAGTCTGAATAATGATTTTCAAGGCGAAGCGCGAAAATAAGTCATGTGAAATACTAACGTTGTACGGACAAACCCTTTTAAAAATCCCTCAATGTTATGTCAAATGAATTATAGTGAGGAAAAGTAAATTTAATTTAATATCAAAACTAAATATTTGTTATATTTCGCTCCTGATTTCTCAAGAAATCATAGAATCAATAAATGTATAAATTTCAATTATGCATGTCTGTGTGAGATCCATTTCATGAGATCAAGGATTTCTATAAAATCCTTGATGGGACCCTTTATATATATATGTCTCTGATACAGTTTTCTATTTTCCCCGGAAAAAATTTAAAAAATATATAATCTTTTGGGAAATAATCCGATTTTGTTGAATTATTTCCTCTCATTATTATGATAAATCCTTTTAGTTCTTCAATTTCAAATTAAAATAAATATTTCATTTTGATCTAACGACAAACTTTTTAAATTGTAGTGGCATGGTCAGTCAACTGATTAGTTGCATGGCTGATTACCAGTTTACTGGTGACCCAGTAATTTTCCATATGACAGTGGCGTGTACCCTTGGGGTGTGTATAACTTATTTTGAATACCTTAATTTTCTGGGGGAACATCCTGTCCACGTGTAATACTTAGTATATATTGCAACAGATGACATTAAACAAATTTTCTTTGTAGCATCGGTGTCCATTTCATGTTCAACCACTCAAAATTTTCACAAAAAAGATAATATAATAATATCATTAAAAAAAAAGATTTAAAAAAACACTAGCAAATAAACTTCGCAATGAGTAAACGGGGATTTGTGTTTTAAAGGGCTTATTTCCAGTATATTTCATACTAGATAACAAGACCTGAGATAACTTTTTTTTTGTAATATATATTTTATTATTTTCATATCATTCTCAAATCTCGATCATCTTAAATAAAGATGTATAAAAAATAATTTTGTTATAACTCATAAATATATGGTTAATCATAATTGTTACAAATTATAAAATGGTAAGTCAATGCCCGATGTGCCGCCGTCTGTTGCAAAACAACGATTTAATCTTTTAAATGAAAGACGTGCACTGCCTTCATCGGAATAGAGGAAAGTCCACCTAGTGTACATTAAAGAGTATCCGTTTGTTATGCTGAAAAAAAAAGAGATCATCATAAACTTTTTAGCAGACCTTCTCTTGTAAAAAAAAACAAACTTTTAACTGAATTTAACAAAAAATTATCAAACAAAACTCATTAGAAAACTCATAGTAACATTTTGTTTAGACCTGAGATAACTTATAGTAAGATTATTTATATAGAACAATAAAAGTAAAATGTCCAATCTGATACACGTACCTATAATCTGGGACTATTATACTAACTATTTTTTAGTATAATAGTCCCAGCTATAATGTACAAAATTTTGAACAGCTTCAAATATATGGCCTTATCATTGGTAATATATCATATTTGCAACAGTTATTGCTGAACGTGTAACCAAATTAAAATGAAGAAATTGGCTCGAAACCGCATTTTTTAAAGATATTTTTTTCAATCCCAAAATAGATAATAGATATGAAAGTCCCGATGAGAAGATTCACTTTCTTTTCTACCGAAGTAAATATATTAACAAAGATTTAGGATATCAATAAATTATTAAATTCATCAATTCATTAAATTTGAACATGTGAACCAAACAACGAAAAAAAATAAACGGGAAATTGGCTATACCTTTTTGGTATTAGCCATGAAGCCATGTATGTACCAGCCATTTTAACTTATTGTTTTCTTAACCTTAAAAGAATACATTTTAAAATGAACTACTTTATTTATAGTAGGCCAAGAAAAATATATATATATAATAAAAAGTTTTAAATTTTGTCAACGCTGTGCATAAAATAGGAAAAAAAAAATAAGGCTGAAAATGCACCAAATATTTATATTCAATATGAATATTCACATTTTGTCTATTACAACAATTTTTGAACAACTTGTTGTTGTAATAGACAAAATGTGAATATTCATATTGAATATAAATATTTGGTGCATTTTCAGCCTTATTTTTTTCCTATATATATATTATATGGCCTTCCAAATACCGTTTCGATCCCTAACATCACTGAAGAGACATTAAATGTCGAAATCCGGATATGGTGTACAAATTTTTGCACCTCATGTTTGCGGTGTACCATCTTTTCCGCAAGTTTATTGTTTTCTGTTTGGTATTTGATTAATATGTAAGATCCATTTTTTGCATCTGGTGATCAATTTATTTGGCAATAGCCAATGGCAGTCAGCAGGGTTTAAGAACATTAGTTGTTCGACCTGTTTGTCAAATGCGTTTTGTTAAAATATACTTTTTCACTTTTTGGTCTTTTGGAAAATGTTGTTTGTGCTGCATTTAGACCCCTCTACCAAGAAATTTGTTTTACATGCACACGTATAAAAATTGCGGTTTTTATCCAACGCAATCATAGGTTTGAACGTTGTTCTCAATTTAGACGTGTATATATATATACATATATATTAGATAACTCTTTCCTTTATATATTTAATGGAACAAGAAACGAATTCGTTAGCGAACTAGAGTAACTATAGAAATAGCGTCGTTACAGGTCTTCTGCTGACCGGCAATAAATCCTTAGCAGTAATGATAGTGGAACGTCCATTGGGCTGTGCTCAGCCACGTCCGAATGGGGACGCTGAATCCTTGCAACAACTCTTCGAGTGGACTGTAAATAGCCTGGAATTAGGCCAATTTTCTGTCCATCCTTTTTCGTTGGCAGTCGAAATTTTCCGACCGTATCACGGGCGGTCTCAATTACAAGACCTACATGTACCTATCATATATTATTCGGTACGTCAGACACACCCGACATTAATCAACCAAAAACTCAATATTTTACAGTAGGGAATGAATATCTCCCACGTTCACTTGTCCCTTGAAGGATCAATATTGAATTTCTTCCATCGCCCCCCCCCCCCCCCCCCCCCCTTTTTTTATAAGATTACATTATGACGTATGTTTTTTTTTTAAAGACCAACAAATCGATTTTTATCACCAAATTAGTCTTTGCTGAGATTAACACTAAAAAAGTATAACAAAACATAACGATTGAAAACTCACAGTTCAGTTTTTAAGATATTTTTTTCTTTGGAAACTAACAGACTAATTTTCAAAAAGTTTTTTTCTTGAACCATTATTTATGAAAACGAATTGTAAACAAAAGTTATTCTCAAATATTAATAATGATCAATGATTGTAAAGAAAAAAATCCATCATAGTAGTTTGTTAATTTACTGGCTCCATGGTGTTAAACATGTCACCTTTTTTTTACAAATAACTTTTTAAAAATATGAAGCCTTTACCAGTCGAGGCAAATAGGAAATTGCATAATATTATGAAATATCATAATTAAACACATTATTATGAAATTCAATAATATAAGTTATTCGAATAATTTTGTTGCTATATTATGAGATTTCGTAATTCATAAAATTATGGAAATCCATAATATAAGAAGAAATTTTGATTTTCAATTAATTTTTTCGTTCGTTTTTTGGACCCCTTGACTATTTTTGGGAAATTCTTCGGAGAAAAAAGTTATTTCTGAGTGGCGTTTATATCAGGGCGTTAGGAACAACAGTCAGATTTTCTACGAAACGCCTAAAATTCTCCCGAATCCCCGCTTTATGATTTCGAATATTTGACAATGGGAGGTAATCCATATCGACTAAATGGGCAAATTGCGGTTATTGCTCTTTGATAATTATATTTTTATCTTAGGTTGATGATGTGAATTTTTAAAATGTCTTTATTACTTTGCAGTGATTTACATCTGTTTACATCTGTTTACTTTAATTACTTTTATTCATCTTAAATCATATAGTAAGGCCACACCAATTAAATTCCTTGTTCAACAAACCAGTCCCCATAATATTTTTGTCTAAACAAATTTTTTTTTTTTTTTTTAATATTCCCGCTTCCAGCATCTGGAAATGTAACTGGGTGTATTTCCCGCGCCTGTTTTTCTGTAAACATTTAAGAAATGACTTTAATTTGTTTTCTGTCTATTCGAAATAGCGGGTTATTCAGTGTGCACCACATTTTTTATGTTATTTCGAATGGACAGAAAACATATTAAAGTCATTTCTTAACATTTAATTCTAAAAAGAAGTAAATCATGATAAAAACGTTGATAACGTCTCGGTCGCATGACAAAATTATGTCTATGAGCTGATAGACAAAACACTTTCAGCCAATCAGAAGACGTGTTACATCCAAAATTAAATTATTACTAAATTAATTAGCGATCGTCAGAGCGTTTTAATCGACGTCAAATCGCGATCCTTTAAACTGTCTCGAGCATAAACACATATTTCTTATCAAAGTCACGACGAAGAAACACACAACCCACATACATGTATAACACAAAAAACTAAAAAGTATACACATTAACGAACACAATAAATCCCTAAAACCTTGGGTGAACTCAGGTGTCCGGGAAGGATAAACAACTCCTGCTTCTTGCAAGACACCCGCCTTGTTTCTAA